CCTCATCCTCACGTACAAGGCCATTCACGGCCTTGCTCCCTCCTACCTCTCCAACCTACTATCCCCCTACCTACCTGCCCGTACCCTCCGTTCCTCTGGCTCCGGTCTGCTCCACGTCCCCCGCCCCAACCGCCCTACTATCGGTGGTCGGGCCTTCAGCCTCTCAGCCCCGAGGCTCTGGAACTCCATCCCCCAGTGCCTTCGCCTTGCTTCCTCCCTTTCCTCCTTCAAGGCCGGTCTCAAAACCTTTCTCTTTGACCGTGCCTTCAGCTCCCCTCTCGACTCTCTTCCTCCTCCTCGCTCCCTCCCTTCCCTCCCCTCACCCTGACCATTTCCCCTCCTCTCTCCCTCCCTTCCCTCCCCTCACCCTGACCATTTCCCCCCTGCTCGGGTCATGACCCAACTGTGCAGCGCCTTGGGACGTCCTCCTGACGTGAAAGGCGCTCTATAAATGGAATCTTGTTGTTGTTGTTGTTGTTGAGAACTGGTAGGGTGTTCTTGCTTCTGTTGGAGTTTACTTTAAAGGGAGTGAGAGCTGTGAACACAAGATAATCATCAATTCAACCATTTGCCTACCTGGGAAGTATCTGTCAGAATGGACTGGAACTCTTCTAGTTTGAACCAGGCATACCTGTAATTCATTGATACTCATCTAATATGGCCAATCCTAGGCCCTCCCTTGATCTGCTGTTCCACGTGTTTCGGGTCCTCAAACATTGCTTGAGGTTGTAGCTCTTTACAGACAATTAATGACTAACGTTTGTATAATAGCAATAAAGAGACATTTTATGCTATAAACACGTACATGTTCAGTGTTGTTCTTAAGAGATGACCCGAAACCCAAAGTTTGCTTGTGACCCACGTGGCATCTCTGCAAAGATGGTCTGAATTGCTGTAGTTTTTTTTTTGCACTTTAAATGCTGTGTACAGCAATTATTTTAGTCTTCTTAAATCTACCTTACGTGATAGACATTGAGCCCATTAATCAAAATCCTATTTCTACTGAACTCCCTATTCTCGTTGATGAAATGTTATTGATTGATGCGAGTCTTAAACGATGCACTTTAGCTCACAAAGGGTTAAGCACACTTGATAAATGTTTCATGGGCAAAAAGCCTGGATTCAATTATTTTAGATTAAAATCTCAAGCACTCGGTCATTTTAACATATGCTTTGCCTTTTAGCGAGGTCCTGATTACAAATTTATGATTTTAATTTATCACCTTAATCCCCAGCATTGGCTCAGTGAGGTCTGTGGGCCATCTTTCACATGGTGACATCCCGGTCAGGAAAGCCTGATTCAGTGCTATCTTTCCTCTCCCAGCCCCTCACTCAGCACTAAATCAGATGTCCAGTCCCAGACCAAAAAAAGTGTTTCCTCCATGGTGAAATAAGTTAGGCTCTTTGATTTAAAAGAGAAATTAAGCAATGATAGAAAGGAATATTATATCTCTGTAACCCAGAGCCTTATCAGGCATGACGCAACAGAATCCAATTCCCTCTCAAACCCCAGAAGAATGTATGATCTATTATTTAACATCACGCTCTCACCCTTCTAACGCTTGCAGAATTTCACATATATTAAAACTTTAATATTCTTTTCTGAGGATTTTAAATAAATCCTCAATATTAACATTTATACAGAATCGTTTCACATCTTTGCACATTTCTCCAATTATTTAATTAATGCTATTTCAGAGTTATTGTAGTCATTTTATTTATTGAAGATATGAATCTTGTGTGGAATGAGGGAACTATATGGGTGCAACAAGACAAGGGAAGATTTTATTTTTAAAGCGAAAAGATATGAGGGAAACATTATGCCCACCCCTTTACCTTCACCTTGTTGGGAACAGCAACCATGAAATGGAAGTTGCTAAGTAATGGAAGTGGCCAAGTTACGGAGTATTTATTTGTTCAATTGAGTCTTTGAATTAGTTCATGTTGCCCGTTTGGAACCGTCACCTCCTCTCTTTCAAAGAAAGGTTGAATTTTTCACTTATCCTGGTTCATATTCCTTCCTTATACAAATTTATATATATATATATTAGCTAATGATCTCATTCTTATTTCTAGTATCTTGCTGGTGCAAATTAGCTGCCATGTTCACCTCCACAACAACACAGAGCAAATACCCTTTAGTGTGCGAGGATTTAATCCCAGGTCTCAGAGGTGAAAGGCCAGTATCCTAATCCCTTGTCACACTTTCATCCTTCTAAAACTATTAGAATTAGAATAAACATTTAACTCAGTTGATAGATTTGATCGAGTTTTAGAAGGTTCTTCATAATTATCTGGAAATAGATTGGATTCTCTGACCTGTTTGTTCTTGAATGACTAATACCACTCTTTGCAGAATGCTTAAAGGTGTCCTTTTGAATGGCCCCTAATTCATTGTGTACTCTGAATAAAGTACATCATTATAAACTATAATTTTTTAAATGTATTTTTAATTTGGTGCAGCAGTTCTGCTGCAGTTCTCTAAGGACAGAGGTAGTAATATCTAGACGATAGCAGATGGCTGAAAGTGTGTTCTCTGATGCAGCTCCAGTTGTTCAGGAATGTCTTCTAAGCCCCAAGAGTGCACTGTACCCTTGAACACACTCCAACTCTCGTTTCATCTTCATAAACACAGCTTCCATGGTTCCGTTGGAATTGATAATCTACTGTAATCTTCCTGTTATTGCCCCCACTGTATTTCATAACGTATGATGAAGAGTTTTTTCAGAAACCATGTTATGATGTATTATTTGTTACCACAGAATAATGTGCTCCTTCCTGAGTTGCTGTGTGATAATGGTCTCATATAAGTTGGACTTAAATTTACATTGTGCTAAATGTAGAATAGGATTTATACTTCCTGCTCCCAGTATCAATCCCGTCAGTAGAATGTGCAAAGCTTGCAGTGACTAGTGTTATCTTTTTCATATCATGCAAGAATTTGTTTGGGGAGGGCAGCTTTTATACAATAAAAAGCCTTTTAAAGACATGCAAGTCATTTCTGATCGCCATTTTCTCAGGATGCTTCAGAATCAGCATGATTTGTTTCCAACTGTACACTGTACTGCGTTTCATGAGGTAAATTATCATGAAAGGTTCAGTACAAACATGAGGCAAACAGCCACGCAAATCTCAGTGTATTCAGATCACTTGAGTGTGAATTTGCAGCAACATATTAAGTTTGGCGCAGACTTCCACTAACATAGTTGCTTAAGTCACCAGAACCGTCAGTGTGAGAAACGACGGTATGGAAGGGATAAAGGGCAAGGATGGATAATTGATCATAAAGAACAGCGAAACAGGCTCGATGGGCTGAATGGCCTATTCCTGTTCCTATGTTCTCTTGATTGCAGACTCTCAGCAAGAGTCTAATCTGCACTCAGGGCACGTTCCAACCAATCTGATAAACGTAACGATTATACGTTGATTCACTCCAACACCACATTAGAACTACCATCTTTATTCACACATCACAAAGCAACTGGTGCAAGATTTGTGCTCCACTGAGTGTAAATTTAAACCAAGGTCAGGAAATATGGGCTTATTAATTCCATTACATTGTAAAATACATGNAAAAAGACACAACACCCTAGAAATGGGCAAACACAGCTCGTAATTCATACAGAATTAATGCTAATGTGCATGCTAATTTTCTTTGTACACTTATTCAATTATTATTATTCAATCATTGCCTGAATGCATTTAATATTTGAAATAATGTGTAGAAACTCTGTTAATAAATTCCAGATCAAGTTCTATCATTTTCGAGTTAAGTCATTGGGGATTCTTTTATGGGCGATTGGATAATATTTAATGGATCAATTAAAATCCAGTGTACAGGTTTGAAAACTCAAATTTGCTCTTGTCTGATTAACAATTTAGGTATATATTCCTAACTGAATACTTTGTTCCCAGTTTTACACACTTTACTGGGGTTTATAGAGTATTTTATTTATGTCAATCTGTACCTTTATCCTTCATTACAATTCCCAAGCAAATATTTATCTAATTTTATGAAGGTTATTCAAAATATTTGGCTTGTGGGACACTTCAATTTCAAGTTATAATTGGAGTGATTTACTGAGAATGAATCATGAAAAAGGGGAGATGAAATTACAATAGTAATAATACTTGCATTTGATACATCGCCTTATCACGTCTTCAAGACATCTCAAAGCGCTCCACAGAATATACTGTGAAGTGAATTGACTGTATATTTTGTTGGTGAAATACGGCAGCCAATTGCGCTCAGCAGTGTCCCACAAAATGTCGCGGATTGAGTGACCAAATTTTTTTTCAAAGTGATTGTTACACCCGGAAAAGCGATCCGCCAATCGACTAACAACCGGGTTCCTACTTACTGCTAAGTAAACAAATGGCGTGTGGAGTAAGGAAACTTGCCCAATGTTTCGCCCTGCCAGGAATCAAACCCAGTTCTCTCGCTTGCGAGGCGAGTGCTCGAACCACTGAGCTACAGGACTCCGCAATATCATGATGTGATTATCAACAATTATGGAGCGAAGTAAAACATGCAATATAGCAACCTTATGACAAATCATAAGATAAATCACAAATAAATCACAAATCACCTGGTCCCTGAATGTGCCGGAGGCAGAGGTTCAGCTAAGAAATTGCCCATGCCTCACATTGGACATCATTGGATCTTTGGTCAGAGAAATACAAGCTTTGGTATATCGAAAAGTCAGAGTAAAGGTGGTATCCCACTAACTGACAGTCAGTCCATTGTCATGATCTGCTAACCAAGTCACCAAGTTTTCTGCCCATGACCCTGAGAAGGGGGAAAGGAGGGGTTCTGCCTCCAAGAATATATGGGACCAGTTGCCGTATTTAAGTATCACAAAGTTGTTGATCGCATGTTGATTGGCATACAGGTGTTAATTATCAAATTGCAATATGGTAAAATTGAACCTAATACTGTAAGTGATATGGATCAAAATAATCTGATGCATGCTTCATTATATCGTCTTTTCTTCCACCAGGGAACCCAGGACAAATGGTCTCGAGGATTGCTTGAGAACGGGAATGCAGTGCACAAAAGAATTCAGAGAAATTTGTGTAGAGAAAAGCTGAACAAGACAATATGAATTACACTGACAGACAAATAACTGCACGGCAATTTACTGATTAGATTTTTTTAAGAATGAGTTCACCCTGAGGCTACGAGAGCATTGTAGCGCCACGTCTTTTACCTCTGGGTGCTCTCCAAAGCTCTTTACCAGGACTCCTAGACCTCAGGGGGATGGCTCTGTTCAGTCTCTGTCTCTGGGTCTCTCTGGTTGTACTGATGAATGCTGTGCTAGTTCGTGCAGACTGTTGGCTTATAGAAGGAGAGAAAGGATTTGTCTGGCTGGCAATCTGTAGCCAAAATCAACCCCCATATGAAGCCATCCCACAGCACATCAACAGCACGATTGTGGACCTTAGATTGAATGAGAACAAGATCAAAAGTATTCAGTTTTCCTCGCTGAATAGATTCGGCAACTTGACCGATCTGAACCTGACGAAAAATGATATTTCCTACATTGAGGATGGAGCCTTTTCAGCCCAGTTTAACCTGCGTATCTTACAACTCGGATTCAACAGGCTTCAGAACCTCACCGAGGGCATCCTCAGGGGGCTGGGCAGACTGGAATATCTCTACCTGCAGGCAAATTTGATTGAAATCGTTAGTCCGAACACCTTTTGGGAATGTTTGAGCATAATAAACATTGACTTGTCCATGAACCGCTTGCAGAGACTTGAGAGTTCCACTTTCACCGGGCTGAGCAAACTCTACGTGTGCGAGCTCTACAGTAATCCGTTTTACTGTTCGTGTGATTTGCTGGGTTTTCTCAAATGGCTGGCAATGTTTACCAACACCACCAGAAATTACGATCGCATGCAGTGCGAATCTCCCCCAGAATTTGCTGGCTACGCTTTGCTGAGCCAAAGCCGGACCAGCCGCAGGAATGCCTACAGCATCCTTTCCTCCAAGTGTGAAGAAAATTACAGGGTTGACTCCAAAGTCGCACTGAATGTATCGACCCCTATTCCCACCACCACCACCACCACCACAGAAAGCCCTTGTGGATCTGAAGACTGCGCGTCAGGCGATGGATCCTCCTCCATCTTATCCTCCCCGACCCCTTTCTTTAATGGGAAACCAATGATCAACGTGCAAGACGTAACCGACAATACAGCCTCCCTGCTGGTCCATATCCCGCACCGCTTTCGTAAAATGTATGTCCTGCTCCAATACAACAACAACTTGTACACACACGTACAGATCCTAAACAAGGAAGAGGAGATCATTAAATTTGATACTCTCAAGGCTCTCACTGAGTACACGTTTTGCGTGGCGTCTATTCGGAATGCATTTAGATATAATCACACCTGTGTTACTTTCTCTACACTGAGGCAGACTAAAGTTGTCGTGACAACGCCTTCCACTGCCACACACTACATTATGACTATCCTGGGCTGCCTCTTCGGGATGGTCATTGTTCTGGGGGTGGTCTATTACTGCCTGAGGAAAAAGAGGCAGCAAATGGAAAAGCAAAAGAAATCAGGAAACATCAAGAAGACCCTCATTGAGCTGAAGTACGGAGGGGAATTAGAGACGAGCACCATCTCCCAGCTCTCCCAGAAGCCAATTCCTCCCTGTGACAACATGCCCAGGATGCCTTTCTACCTTCCTCTGGAGACATGGAACAGTATAAATCTAAGGACTTGAGTGAAACCCCCAAAACTGCCAAGGGCAACTACATTGAGGTGAGGACAGGTGATGCTCCAGACCGGAGAGATGTGGAAGGGAGCCAAATTGGGGAAAGTCAAAGTTCTACAGCTGAAATCTCAACGATAGCTAAGGAAGTGGATAAAGTCAATCAGATCATTAATAACTGCATAGATGCCTTAAAGTCGGAGCCTGGCTCTTTCCAAGGGGGGAAGTCGGGGGCCATGGCTTCTATTGATCCTCAATTGTTAATGATTACTGAACAGACCCAGGGAAGATCTGGCTTTCTGTCCCCTATCTATAAGGAAAGTTACCACCCGTTACAGAGGCACAGTAGTATGGATACAGCTCCCAAACGCTCGAGCACCTCTTCCAGCGGTTCCATCCGAAGTCCAAGGTCATTTCGGTCAGAGGCTTCCGCTGGTCCCACATACAAATCCGAGGCAAAATACATCGAAAAGACATCTCCGACGACGGAGACCATCATGACTGTGAGCCCAGGTGTCATTTTGAGATCGGAGGCAGACAAGATCCGACAATACAGCGAACATCGACACTCGTATCCGGGGTCCCATCAGGGGGAGCAGCAGCAAGAGGCACCGAGTCGGAAGCCTTCGATTCTGGAACCGTTGACTCGACCCCGGAGGGATCTCATGTACTCCCAACTCTCCCCACAGTACCACAACCTCAGCTACTCCTCCAGCCCCGAATACTCCAGTAAACCATCCCAAGGGATCTGGGAACGTTTCAAACTTCACAAGAAGCGACACAAAGAGGATGATGAGTACATGGCAGCAGGTCACGCCCTGAGGAGGAAAGTCCAGTTTGCGAAGGATGAGGATTTGCACGATATCCTGGACTACTGGAAGGGGGTGTCCGCCCAGCACAAATCCTGATTCCTCAGCGACTGAGAGACTCAATGGGACCAAAAGGAAACTGTAACACAACTGTTTTTAATATGACCAACTCAACTGTTCTTAACAAGAAAACGTTTCATCTCACGTATGTGAGTTTATGCACCAAAATTGTGAAACTGACTTTAACAATCTGTATAAAGGATTTCTTTTATATATATATATATCATATAATATATAGATATATGTTATATACAATATATATGTTATATATACTATATATATAACATATGCTATATATAATATGTTATATATATTATATACACATATATATATATACACATATGTATAAAAGGAAGCCCGGAAGCCTTGGAATATTGGATATTATTTATCGCATGACCCTGTGCTGTGACTGTGACTCACTGTAGTGTACATAGAGACATTACTCGCTGTACACCCAACGTGACTGGACTGTGCTGTGTAACTGTACCTCACACATGCTGCTCACATCCTTGCATTGTATAGTACGATTTACCAGTAAAATCTCCGCAATTCTGTACAGATAAATTTCTATATTTGCAATGATGTTTCTGGTATTACACCTGTTTGTATCAGGTTTTAATCATGGATTTTACAGAAGTTGTTTGTTTCCAATGAATGTCTCCTCTGACAAGTGACCCCGAGCATTGGATAAAAACTGCACTGGTGAAAGAATGAACCGTTTCTTCTGTCGAGTTCTCTTTCTGTCTCATTCATCCGAATTTGCAGTTCCACCCCCCCCCCCCCCAGAGAAAACATTACACTTCCTGACACCGAGGTCCAGGGAGCTTGGCCAACAGAACTTCCAAAGATATCAGGATATGGCCAGTCAAGCACTCTAGGTGGTAGATGTGACATGGTACAGCGAGGTGGATGCATGTGGTGGATGTGACTTGGTGCAGTTGGGTTTTGAACACCCCCCCACCCTCCTCCCCTTTCCGTGTTGAACTCCCTCCCCAAATCTCTGCATTTCCCATCCTCTCTGGCAGTCGCAAAACCCTTAAAAAAAAACATCTTTTTAACCCTGACTTTGGTCACCACCCACCCCCCCAACTTGGTCGGTGTTCCACATAATTTATGTAAAGCATGTTTTCCCATGTGAAAGTCGTATATAAGTGAACATTCTCGTCTAGATAATAGATGTGTATGGTCTAGTTTGGTGATGTAGCTGGCAGTTTGGAGCAGTATCTTGTAAATATGGCATGGCACAGTTTGGTCAAAGCTCTCTCTTAAGTTTTCCTTCTTAAAACAATGCATGTATACCGGACTTTCTAATCCCAAATAGCTATTTTCTTCAAGAGTCTATTATTGAGGCATACATTAGCCACAATCAATGCTATCTGACAGAGCTGGGGAGAGAATATTACTTACGAGGTTGCTAAAAGTGTGGGGGGTGGGGGGGGGTGAATTACAAGCGATTGACTTTCCATCACCCCCAGTTCTTGCCAGTCTCCACTCGGATCAACTTCAAGCTCCTCACCCTCACCTACAAATCCATGCGCACCCCGGGACCTCCTCATCTCTCCGACCTTCCCTCCCACTTTTCCACCTCGCTCGGCTAACTTGGGCTTGCTGCGAGTCCCCTGCCTGCCCTCTCCGCGCCGCCACTGATGGCCGAGCCTCGAGTTGCTACACCCGTAACCCTCCGGCACAGTACGACGACCCCCTCCATCTCACCGCCCCATCTTTCTGTCTTCATGTCCTGTCTAAAAACCTACCTTTTCCACTGCACCCAATGGGTAGGATGACATTATTTTGGAAAATCAAATCTGAGGACATGTGTATATATATATATATATATATATGTGTGTGTGTACAGAAAATCTATCTCACCAGAATTCCTGAAACTGGCTATTTACTGGAGAAGCTTGTTGGATCAATGGCTGTATTTCTGCGATGGTGAGCGTGGCTGTTTCTAGAGTTTTATTGCCTTTGCTCAGTTTGTTGCTGAACTCAACTGAAAACACAAACAAGAGCGAGTTGTGGCGGTGGTTATTTCCACCCACAAAATCCACAGTCAATCAAACCCCTTCGACAATATATTCTGCGAAGCGCCTTGAGACGTCAAGTGCATATCATTAATAATTATTACCTAATGAAACAGCCTGCCTCATTTCCTGACCTGAAACCCCACTGCCGCCGGCTACCGGACTCGCATTGGCCTCCCCCACAAAAAAAAACCGGTGGCGCTCGCGCCGCCGCGGCCGTTATTTCCCGCTCTCCTCTGTTCTTTTTTTTAAAAAAAGGGAATAGAAGGCAGGACTGTGCCTGTGTGCGAGCGCCTTCCCTCGGTGGTGGTGGTGGTGGTGGTGGTGGGGGTGGGGTAGGTCCCGGCTCCTGCGCACAAGAGAGGGGTCGCGCCGAGTGCAGGCGTTAGTTGGTCGTCGCCGTTGGTCGCTCGGGTCCATGGATTTCTCGCTCTCTCTCTCTCTTTTCGCGGGTAATGCGACGCTTGATGCACGACGACGAAAAGTAATAGAGCTGTATGTATATATGTATGTGTAGGTGTGTGTATGTGTGGGGGGAGGCCACTCCTTTTCCGTTCTGGGTCTGAACAAAAGGTATTGGTGCCGGTGAAGCGAACGGAGAGTTTTGCTGCGCGAATATCAAAATGGCGGGAAAGGCCGCTGGCTTGGGCAGCCTCGCACATGCGCGAGAAGCGGCCGGGCCCAGGCGACGAGGCGCCCACGCACGACGAAGCACGTGCTGGGAAGCTGAGTTGCCTGGACCAGGAGCTGCCAGATGTTGTCAGCTGTTTTCCTGCATGTTATTTGAAAATCCGGTTGCTCAACACGTTCTTGTAATAACATTCAAGGGTTCCGGGCCGTTGCAGTTGACCACAGGAGAACTTTTTCGACTTAATTTAATTGTCTATAAAGTCTTAAAGCCCTTTGAAAATTGGCTGCAGCAATAACTGGATTTGCGCGGCTGTCAATTTGATTCCCGGAATCGCTACCCGAGGCACTTGAGGACGCAGAATCTAATTGGTACCCACGAAACCTGATTCATACTGAATTTTCAGTGTCAGTTCGATGCGAAAATAGCATTGAGTTGACACTAACTGTGCAATACGAATAGGGCATAAAGTTTTAACCCGTAAGCCAAACTACTGTGGAGTCCTGTAGCTTGGTGGTTAGGGCACTCGCCTCGCAGCGGAGAGGACCTGGGTTTGATTCCCGGGCAGGGCAAAACCATTAGGCAAATTTTGTTACTCCACTCGCCTTTGTTTACCTAACAGTAAGAAGGAACCGGTTGTTAGTTGATGGGCGGATTGCTTTTCCGAGGGTAACAATCCCTTCAAAAAGAAAAAAAATTGGTCACTCAATTCACGACTGTTTGTGGGACATTGCTGTATGCATTTGGCTGCTGTGTTTCGCCCACAAAATATACAGTCAGTTCACTTTACAGTATATTCTGTGAAGCTCTTTGAGATGTCTCGAAGACATGATAAAGCGCTATATCAAATGCAAGTATTATTATTACTGCTTGAGGTTTCTTGAGGTGTGTTGTGTGTGGTTGTATATGAGATTGTTATTTGCTAGTTCAGGTGTTGGCAAACTGCATGCTCACAGTTTAGTGAAGACCAAAGAAAAGATGCTTGCTTATCACATTGCAAGGAAATCCTAATGATGGTGTATAATATATGTCTTCTGCAATGTGCTCCTGTGCTGCGTGTACAGAAACTATGTTCTGCAATATATGAAACATTGTGAAACCTATTGCACTATTCATGTGCTCTTGAGTTATGCTCACCTGCACAATGTGTACAATATTTACAGTGTAGTGACATGTGGAATGATCAAAAATGGGAGGAAAGAAAGGAGTAAAAAATAAACAAAAGAGTGTCTGATGGAACAAATATGGTGTGCTGTTAGTAATGCCACTGAAAGTCTTAGATGGTAGCGCCATATTGGAACAATTTCAACATAACCTTTCCTCCATTCTTGGCGGACGATATGTACCTGTACCTGCCAAGAAAATGCTGATATATTAACTGCAGAGTTAACAGTAACATTTTCAAGCAAGAGGGGATCATTGGTCCATCTAAAACAACCCATCCAATTTCCCAAGATTTCTTCAACATATCTATCTCATCATTAAGGTCCCTGAATCTTTATATTTGCAATAGTGTGCGAGGGAGGAAGTCCAAAACCCATTATTCCACACAAAGGTAGTTTTAGGAGTAGTCACTACATATCAATCGTGAGTAGGAACTGTGAATAAATCTACCTTTCCTTAGCCAAATCTAATTCCGAAAACCAATTGTTGCCGTGTACGATCACCTTAGCGGAGATCAGCAAACTCAGCATAGATCAGTGATTGAAACTGAGACCTTTTTTAGTCAGCGTAATTCAGCACATTTAGCCAGTGAGCACTGGCAAAACTCCAGAACACGTCTTTTAAAGAAAGAAGTAGAAAGGGTTTAATTTCTCTTTTTTGTTCCTCTGTCAATTTTTTTTTAAGACATTTGAATTGGATTTAATTTTCTCCTACTCTTCATAAGGAGCCTATCCAAGATCCATTACTGTAAGACAAGCACATAAGAAAAATGTTGTGGGTGACCTGCGTGCAGACAGCCTGATTTATGTACCATTCTTACAGTCCACAGGAGGGATGCGAGCGAGAAACCAGAATAGTGACATGCACAATCAAAAAATGATGAAATGCCTTATAAAACCCTACAGTTCGCGTCCCGCTGTGACCAGAAAAAGAGGATTGAATAATGCAGATTATAGAGATAGACTGCAGTCCTGCAATTATATGGAGAGGAGGGTGTAAGAGAGAGAGATTGGTAGTTTTGTTTGTTAGCCAGCTAATTCATAGATTGAATGGAGGCAGAATTTGGCAGTGTATCTGATCTGTTGGAAGGAATGGGCTCGTGGTGAGGAGGAGGGGGGAGTTTTGTGTTTTATAATGCTGTAAATTCCATAAATTATGTTCAGTTTAACACTGTACACATATTTTAGGGGCTTGAGGCGGGGGAGGAATTTTGTCTTAAAAAAGTTTTCAGTTATTTTGACCATTTGGTGGACTCTGGAATAGACTAGACTCTGTGGTTTTCACATTCCAATCTTGACCTGCGTGGGGGTGTGGGCTGGGGGCGGGGGTGGGTGTGATGAGAA